AAAACCTAAACCCCTATAAACCCTAAACCCTATTAACCGTAAATCCAATAAACCCTACACCCTATAAACTCTAAACCCTATAAACCCTAAACCCTATAAACCCTAAACCCTATAAACCCCTAAACCCTATAAGCCCCAAACCCTATAATAAACCCCAAAACCCGATAAATCCCCAAAACCGAGCAGAAGAGTCGGCAGCCTCCACCGTGACGCCGTATCCCAACTTCGCGGCCAACTTGCCTTGGAATCGAGATCAGCTCAGTTGTTTCGGCGAGCTTAGCTTAGGGGTTTAGGGTTGAGGGATTAGGAGCAGCCGAGGCTGAAGGAACTGATTGGTTTGGGGCGTAGGGCGTATGGATTGACGTTTGTTAAGAGATTCGGGGACTCAGAAACCCTAACCCTAAACCCTATTTGTTGAGAGAGCAGAAGCCCTAGATTTCGTAAAACCGCTGCGAGCTTTCAACATGCTCATGAGGCTCCTGAAATGGTTCTACGAAAATCCAAGTACCTAGTAACGATAAGGTTCCCCAAAGGCCCGAACACCAACCTGGTTTAGGGTTTAGGGTTTAGGATAACGACAAGCCTGAGCCAAGTGCCTGATTATGGAATACTTACCATGGACCTTTAGCAGGAAAGGGTGTCCGTTCTGAGACTCGGAGAACCGGCCAATGTACAACTTGCTGGGATTTCACAAATTTGCCTCTTTTCACGCAGTCCTCAGCCACCAGTGCACTACACCCACAAACCCAACCCCACACACACGCACCTCTAACTCCGGCATTACCCATAATATTATAGGAACATACGAATGTTTACCATAAAATTGCCGTAGTTTAGGGTCCTTAGGTGATGCTAAGGATCTTCAACCCTAAACCCCAAACCCTAAACCCCTAAACCCTAAACCCTTCTATCATCAACAGTATCATCGGGCGAGGCAGGATGCTGTGGAAATCCGAGGACAAGCTCGATGTGAGCCGCGTTGCAGCCGCCTCAGGAAAGGATCCACTTGGAGGTTCATGGGTAGTTTGATAAATGGGGGTTATAAGGTTGTTTTTAGGGGCTCTATGGGGTTCTATGGTGTTTAGGGTTTGGGGGGTAGTTTAATGGGGGTATAAGTAGGGTAACCAAGTAGGGTAACTATACTTATAATCCATATTAGGGGACTTATAACCCTGCTTTTTGCCACCCATGAACCTCCAAGCAGGGCTGTTCGGCTTGAGGGGGCCTTGGGTTTTAGGCTTTAGGGCTTTTAGGGCTTTAGTGGGCTTTAGTGTGGGACTTTCGGGTTTTAGAGTTGAGGGTTCAGGGTTTCAGGGTTTTTTGGGACTCCGAGCCTCCAAACCTTGTACGACACGCCAAGAAGAAGGAGTGCCAGGCGAACTTCCGAATTTCCGCCTTTCTGGGCTTTGCTGCAAACCCTGAATCAAAGTCCTGGACCATGAGCTCACAGCCCTCAAAACCCAAAGCGGTAGACCCCAAACCCAGGGCCCTGCACGCCAAACCCCGCCAACGAAGAAACATCGCTGCTAGTTCTAGTCGTGGTGATACGTAGTACGCAAGCACTGCAGCATGAGTACATCTCGCAACACCAGAATACTGCTCGTACTGACAGAAAACAGAAGAACCAGAAAACCAACTCAGTAGCAACGCCAGAAATGGTAATCATAGTCAGAGTCACGGCTACAGAAGCACGAGGTGCCAGCTGCAAAAGCACACAGAAGGGGACTAAACGGATTCTTGCGACAAAAACCATTATATGCTGTTGATAAACCTAAATAACCTTGACCTCGCCAGACAACGGTTCAAAATAAAAAACGCAAACAAACACTACGGGACTGCCTGTCTGACCCATCAGCACCGAGCATCACATGCAAAAAGCCCAAAGCCATGCAGTCCAGCTCTGAGAATTTGGGTCTGCTGTGAACCTGATACAGTACTGCTCGAAAAAACCCAACAACCTCAATCAATCACGGTGATTACCCAAGCCCTGTGGCACACATCCCAAAAGTGGAAAGCCGAACTGAACCCTGAGGAAAAAAATGCTATTAACTGTTCAACCTCTTATAATAAGCCTCTGCCACGTTTTCTGCTTCCGTTGCATCGAACTCGAGCCTGGCGTGCCACCAAAATGCTTTGAGAGCAGGTTTCGCACGGGCTGATGTACGGATTTCATCTGGGGTGTCACGGTTCTGTTCTGATGAAGCTCATTTTAGTGCGGCTTTATAGGGTTTCATATGGCTTAGCAGGCCTGCTTTGTGTCGTTTTAGGACTTTATCCGGTCTTATCTGGCCGGTTCTACGTTTCTTAAGATTTGGGAGCACTTGGGCGACTGTTGGACTTGTGAGGTTCAGGGCCTGGCCCTCTTCATGTGTCTTCCGGAAACCTGCACCTTGAGGAATTGGGGCTATAGGGTTTAGGTTTTCAGCTTCGGGGTCTTCTGCGGATTTTTGGACTCAGGGAGTTGTTTTGTGTTTAGGGCGTAGCCTGGAAAACATTGCCAGGCTTGGGGGCCCAGGGCAGGACCGAGGGCTTTGGTGGTTCGGGGTTGAGCACATGGGGTCTCGAGGGCTTTCAGCGTTGGGAGCTTACACCAATAGGGTTTGTATCTAGATTTTAAACAAATAAATAAATAAATATAACTCCAAATATAAATATAAATATAAATAAATACATATGTATATATATATATATACATTTTTTATATATACACATATTTATTTATGTATTTATTGAGATACACATACGTATAGAAGCTTTGGAGCCTTCCTCGATGCATGAGCCAAGGCGCCACCTCACTCCTCCAGCTACGCCCAGCCAGGCTGGGATCATCGCAGGGTCCGGTGGCAAACGCATCTCCACTGCAGTTCGATTTCCCCGACGTGTGGTGGCAGTCGTAGTCCGAGAGCACTGAGGAGAGTCCGTGAACCTTAAACCCTACTTAACTTACTTCCCTCAAGCTGTTGGAGACTCCTTTGGGCCACCAACATTCAGGTTTTGATTTGTCGGGCACATGGTGCGTGTCTGAAGGTCCGGATAAATCTGCGGCCGAACCTGACGACTTAAATAAGGGTTATGTTGGGCTGTCTGGGTACTGCTAAATTTAAACTAGTAACTAGTTCAAATTAAATGAAGAACGGATCGATCGTGCCAGCAGGCCTTTTCAGCAAGCCTCACTCCAACCAGTGAAACCTATAGCCTATAGCTATAGACCTTAAACTCTAAACCTAAAAACCCAAATAGCCGCTAGCGCATTGCGAGCGAGAAAATCGAGGAGCCCAGTCAAGCAAGCCGCGATCAGAATCCTGCAGCCTAGCACCGTTTTTGGGAGGCATTTTGGGCGTGGGATGCTGGAGAAATCCTGCATGTTGCTAGTGATAGTGTGTTCATGCCCCCCCCCCCCTCCCCCCAAGGCCCAATCAACCCTAAACTAAAACGCACTGAACATCCCTGGATCCTAAACCGTTTAATGAAACTTAACAGCCCTAAACATCCCTAAACACAGAGCACGTTAAACTCTAGACATCCAGCACCTAAGCCTGCAGCTAAGACTGACAGCAATTCCCAGCCGACCCGATCGTGGACGCTGCCAGGACGAAGTCCAATGAAGGAACTCCTTCGCAAGAGGCTTGTAAGTTTAGGGTTTGGGGCTCTTGCCCGATAAGCTGTTCAAGGCTCTACCATAAATGCTAGATAGTTGGAGCCGGTGCATAATAGGCGGGCCTCGTAATAGACTGAATAAACAAGGGTACCCATCGGTTTGTCGAGAGGCCCGTCGGGTCTTAGGAAGCACAGGACAGCATGAATGAGCCTTTTCTGCAATATACTGACAAGCGATGCAACGACTACGAGGGCCTCGAATGATGTCGGAAAATCAGCACAAATTGCATCGGCTGACAGCCTCGGGCGCCCGCTCAGCTAGCTCTAAAAGCGCAGGCGGTCCCGGGTGCCAGGCCGTGGAGGAGCCGCAGCGCCTCTTTGTGTCTGTATCGATTGACCCAGCGTGCAAGGACCACGCCGCGATTGTTCTTCGGGTGCCAGTGGAGGAGCTGCAGCGACTCTTTGTGCCGTTGGACACCTTTCTTATCCTCTCGATCCTTTAGTTAAAGTGTCCGGCAGAGGAAACACAGCTCTTCCCTCCAGTCAGTGGAGGAAAGGCTCCCGGGTGCCAGGTCGTGGAGGAGCTGCAGCACCCCCTTGTGCCCCCTAAAAGCGGCCCAGTGTGCAGGGCCCTCGCCATCGTCGTTCTTGAAGAAGAGGGTCCCGGGTGCCAGGTCGTGGAGGAGCTGCAGCGCCTCCTTGTGCCCGTTGAGAGCGGCCCAGTGTGCAGGGACCTCGCCGTCGTTGTTCTTGGAGGAGAGGGTCCCGAAGGCCAGGTCGTGGAGGAGCTGCAGTGCCTCCTTGTGCCCGTTGCTTGCCGCGCAGTGTGCAGGGACCTCGCCGTCGTTGTCCTTGGAGGAGAGGGTCCCCGGTGCCAGGTCGTGGAGGAGCTGCAGCGCCTCTTTGTGCCCGTTGTGAGCGGCCAAGTGTGCAGGGACCACGCCGCGATTGTTCTTGGAGGAGAGGGTCTCGGGTGCCAGGTCGTGGAGGAGCTGCAACACCTCCTTGTGCCCGTTGCGAGCGGCCAAGTGTGCAGGGACCCTGCCGTCGTTGCTTTTGGAGGAGAGGGTCTCGGGTGCCAGGTCGTGGAGGAGCTGCAGCGCCTCCTTGCGCCCGTTGCGAGCGGCCAAGTGTGCAGGGACTTCGCCGTCGTCGTTCTTGGAGGAGAGGGTCTCGGGTGCCATGTCGTGGAGGACCTCCTTGTGCCCGTTGAGAGCGGCCCAGTGTGCAGACACCTCGATTTGACGGCCCTGGGCTGGCCCGGAGAAGAGCGTGTTAGTAGCGTGTGGAGGAGCTTGTCTCTGAGAAAGAAGAGCTGTTACTCCAGATTGCCAAAGTCGAAAGCGAAGCCGCCGGTAGCGGGCGCACCAGGACTCTGCGCCCACCCAGTGCGACACTGCATGGCACGATTGCCAAACCCCGGAGACACACCGTTGTGGAGCTCGTCGTCGTCGTCCTCGATAAAGCTTGGCTCTGTGGTCACACCAGCGTCCGGCGCCCCCTCTCTCGCGGAGGCATCTGCATGTACAGTAGTGAGGCCTGGTGGCTGAAGCGGGCCTCCATATTCTTTCTCTCTGCGGGCATCTAGCTTGGCTTGCAAGGACAGTCCACTGGGCGCAACTCTCTCCGGAGGCTGCTTTGTAGCATCCTTGATGTTCTGGCGGGAAGGCATTCGGCTCTGGTCTCCAGCTGGGCCCGGATGGCTGGGAGGTATAGGCGTAGTTGGCTTGTCTTTGGCCTCTTGCGAGGGCTCTTGCATGGGCCTGTCGGGAGTTGTCTACGTGATTCTACATTCGCTACATACATCCGCTAATTAGGTCCAGCCTCGTTCAAGACGTGCTTCTCAAAATCGAGAGGACCGGCCGATTGACCGCTGTCCGCAGGGCATCCGATCTCCTTTACCTGCAGCGCCGCTCTTCCCGCTCACGAAACAAATTCAGGTCTGGCACAGGCATGCTGGAGTTTGCAGAAATCAGAGTATACTCGCAACAACTGCTGCTGACGTTTGTACTGTGAGGGCTGTGAAAGGCATTATAGGACCCAGGCAAGTTGAGGCAAGTTGCCCGTTCGTCACTCGCCGGTAGACTGATGTTCCAAAAATAATCATTGTTCGGCATGCCCTTTTCAAGAGCACGTGCGCCTTCAACTTGTGTCAAGGCCGGGGCCTCTGTGTGGCCAGTGGTGGGCTTCATGAAAGCAAACGCGTCAGAGCAGCTCTTGTAAAGATGGACGGACAGCGCAAAGTCAAAATCATCGTGGCACTGTACCTGATGCACCCACCAGTTTTGGCGGTTCAGCCAGGTCGTGTTTCCTGTCGTAAGCTTGAGCACCGCCTGGTCCTCGTTCGGCAGGTCTAGCTGCCCATCATCTCCTTTGAACTTGATGGGCTCATCGTCCAAGATGCTGTCGAAGAGCTGGCAGTTCAATGCGCCATACAGCACACGCACGCTGCCTGCGCAACCACCGTGATGGTGCTTCGGAGACTTGTAGCCTTTAGGCCACAACTCCAGAACCGCCGTATACTGGCCAAGCTCCAGTAAACCTAAACCGATGCGGATGTATGTCATCGTCCTATCCCCGAACTTCTCGTGGGCTTTTACACCTTTCGCTCGCAGCTTATTGTGCAGCTCGTGCCCAGGTTGTAGTGACCGAAGAATGGACTGAATAGCTTCACTCGTCAAGTGGTTCTTCGCAAAGTCATCCACGCATGGCCGGTGCGTCAGCTCGCAGACGGCTTTGGCATCGTCGGGTATGTCTTCGTTGGGCTGCCCTGGACGGTACAGCAAAGGCTGCGCCTTGTCGTTGGCAAGGTACTGGCGCAGGTCGAGGTACAACTTCTCCACCGTGTCCTGTAGCCTGACGACCGTCCCGAATGTTCTGGCGATTTAGTTCGAAAATCTGGCGTGGAGTCTGCTTGTAGTCCGTGACATCCTTCTTTTTCTGTAAGCAAGCAATGCTGCACTTGACCCGGGCGTTGTCGGTGACGTCCCCAAACTTCTGCCGCTCATCGCAATCCAAGTTGTCGCAAGGGTGCCTTCGAAGCTTGGCAGGGCTTGCAGCTACACATGTTGAGCGTGATCACCAGCAAGAAACAGTCCACTAAAGAGCTTGCTTACGGGTCGTGGCTTGACCTTCTACAGCTTGCTTCAAGAAAGCGGCCTGCACATCTCTTGCAGCTCTCCGAGTGTCCGGTCCAGGAGGCGCCGCTTCTCAGCGCCGAGAAGGTCAGCGCCAGCTTGGGCAGCCATAGCTGAAAGCAAGTTGCGGCCAAGTGCAACCTTCCCCACTTAGCCACGAAACAACGAGGCTATCAGATCATGTTGGTAGTTCTCTAAATTCGGGTCGCTTTTTAGATCCCCGAAATAGTACAGCACCCTTATGTAACGGACCCCTAAAAGGGACCCTAATTTAGACAGCTACCCACGTGATTTTTGCAGGTGGGGTCCACTACTTTGGTGCCAACCGGTGGCCTGGAGCAAAATCTTATCACGCGATCACGCCGTTTCTCTGGCTGACGTACTGCTCAAGTTCACCACAAAGCCGGCGGGGCATGGATCCAAGTAATGCTTCCAGACCTCAATCTCAATGCGACCAGAACGACTGCACTGAGCGTTAGCAGTCTGCACCTCCGATGGTGCCGTCGTCAACGAGCACTGCGGTCTCTTCGACGTCAGCAACCTTGGGATCTACTGCATGCTTAACTAGGGTTCAGGGTTGAAGGTGTTGGGGCTTGGGACGGCTCAGTTTTCGTTTCAGGAATGGAGGCTACCTTCTTTCGGGATCCTTCTAGTGCGGATGCATGTCCAGGCTTAGGCTTGTGGTTTGGGTTTTCATGTAGGAGCTTAGGGCTGAAAGTACGATACAACAACGCATGCTGAAGGGACAAGTCTCATGAACAGAACCTTGCTTATTTTCTGCGCGAGGCCTTCGATCTAGCCTCCAGCATGTACGAGCGCAACCAAAATCGAGACAGCGCAAGCTAATCTTACAGGTCTATGTACCAACCATATAGTGTATATATGGCCGTACAAGGTAGTCCCTATATAGGCACTTTGGGGCCAAAATCTATACTATTTCAGCACATGGATCCTTAGGGAATGCAATCCTGCAGAATCCAAGAAGATCGGGTTTTCGGTTTATACGGTCTTCTGGACCACTGAAGAAGGCTTGTGGCTTTAAACTCTCAGCCCCAAAAGTACAGGCCAAAACAAAAGACTCGAAACACAGAAGAACTATGTAACAGGGTTCTACCGAAGTATAGCACGCGCACAAGACACAGGCCAAAACCAAAGACACGAACCACAGGAAGAACACTTCAACAAGCTCTGCCAAAGTTATAGCAGGTCCATAGTCCTTTGGCAAACTCCCTGCCGACCTAGCCCTAGGCAAGCCGCTGAAAAACATTCGTCAATAAGATCCTCCTAAGACAAAGAAGGGAAAATGTAAAATGTTCCAAAGGCCTATGTACCTAGAGCCGAACTTGCGACCATCCTCCAACTGCTAATTCCCTTGCAACCCTGAACCTAAAACCGTACATCAAATCACCCATCCCCTTTCAACCCTGAAATCGTAAATCCTAAACCCGACAAAGCCCTAAAAACCTTGAACAAGCACTGAACCTGAAATCCTAAGCTCAAGCTCTCAGATCCCAGACCCACACCTCAAACGATTGAATCAAAAGGCTCAGCACTACTGCAGCCCCGAGTCCGCATCAACAAAAATCACGAATGGCCCCAATCCAAGAGCCCAGTCCTGACCCCCTGAAGACCCTCACAACTCTTCGTAAGAAGCCTGAAAACCCTGACAAAGCCCATCTCTCACAAAAATCAAGCTCATAAGTTCCCCTACGCCTAAACCCTTAGCCAATGCCCCAAAGACCGCCCCGCTTTGTCCCCCGAAACCTCGCTGAGCACAGCCCGAAGTCTGGAACGAAAGGCGCCGCTGGTCGCCAGGCGCCGGGAGGACTCGGTGCGACAATGTGTTTGCGAGTTTAGGTTTCTAGTTAGGCTTGAGCATGTGCAGTATAGAGCTTAGGGGTAAGGTTCCGGGCGCTGGGTGTTTAAGGTCCCGTCAGTCATGAGGTTTAGGGTATCTAACAAACTTACGGCCCCCATCATAAAGAGCACGCAAACCACTTTAGAGTTTAGGGTTTAGGGTTTTGAATTTCAGAAGCCCTTGCATTGTCACGCACTCACGGTTTTAGGTATGAGGGATATCAAAAGTCGGAAGTTAGCGACTTGAAAACATAGGAGTGGGTTCCGAAGGGGCCTGATTAATAATTAGAACAGGTTGCGAGGTATATAGTGTGTTGAGATTAGACGAACTATAAATGGCGTAGTATTACTAAGTTATCCGACTCCTGCACTGTAATAAGGTGTCCTTCAAAAGCTCAAGCAAATCAGCGTTTGGGGTGGGTGAGTATGGAGGGTTGAAGGTTCGAAACTTCGGGTGTATATAGCTCCCTTGAATTCAAAACCCTCTCACCTTTACTCTGGATTATAGTAGGGATCCCAATCTGGCCCGCGTTTACAACGGCCTTTCTTAATGCTTTTGCTTCCGGTAGGGTTCGGAGTCGAGGGTCGCGATGGCAGCTTCGGGGACATCACCAAATAGGAATCCAATCGGTTAATGTAAAGTGCATTATGGCCTATATAACTGTAATCTGGAACCAACCTGAAGGACCTTCAGTGCCAACTACCCAAGCTTCTGTAGTATGCTAGAGCCTTACCGCGCTTCCAAACTAACACTTATCCAGAATAATGCTGTAAATACCTTATGACTCTGCGTTGCCATGCCCAACCCGAACTTGACAACAGCTCAGCTATCATCCAACTCACTCACACCTCCAGGATCCACATGGCTATTCGAGAAACTTTGGCTGTCACACCAAGACGACCTCTTATAGGTATGTATGCATGTATGCATGTATGTATGTAGGTATGTATGTACACGTTTGTGTGTGTATGTATATATATATGTATATGTACATATAGATATATATGCATATATTATGCCATATTATGTAAGAGCATATCTCTATGCCTGTCTGTCCTACCACCTATCTATCTGTTTCCATCCATCTATCTATCTATCTATCTATCTATCTATCTCTCTATCTATCGATCTTTCGAACTGTCTATCTACCTATGAATCTATAATCTAATTCAACCTCATCTAGTCTAATCTAACCTATCTAATCTATCTATCTATCTATCTAGCTATCTAGCTCTCTAGCTATCTATCGACACTAAATATACACACGCGTATAAAAGGGAATGTCACCATAAAACTCGGACGCATCGGAAGAGCACGAACTTCCTTTCCACCTGGGGGCCCCGGCTCCGGACGCCTGGACGGAAATGGCGCCGGTGACCGTGAAAGCCTCGAGGTTCCTCGGATGGCAAACTACACCCCACAGTAAACCCTATAGAAATCCCTAAAGCCTCATCCCTAAACCCCATAGTAATCCGTAAACCCTAAATCCCCACAGTAATCCCTAAACCCTAAACCCCACAGTAATCCGTGAACCCTAAGCCCTACAGTAACCCCTACACCCCTAAACCCTAAACGAAGGCCTCGAGGTTCTTCGGATGGTGAAAGCATGCTTCGCAAAACATTTAGGCACGACTATGCTGGGCTCTTGATGCTGTTTGTATGTGTAATGTATATTGTTGGTGAAGGCGCAGGGGTGTGTGGGGGGAGAGTTTAACTTTTGCTTTCGTGTGGTGTCGGTGAGAACTTAAAATCTCCACTTGGAGTTTTCTTGTCCGGGCTTGTCGGGCTTTAGGTCTAGGGGCTTTGAAGCCACGTCTTAGACCCTCCTAGAAGCCCAGGCATCCTATCGGCGAACGGCCTTCAGCCTCTGCAGACAAGCCGTGTGATTGAACCCCCGCCGGAGACCTTCTCGTAGGCTTCGAGTGCTCTGAGAGGTTCCCTCAACCCCAAAAGAACCTCTTAACAGGAACCTTGAATCCCTAAACTCCCTAAGCCCCAAACCGTTCTCCTCTTGACAGGAGTCTTGAAACCCTCTAAACCGTAAACCGTTATTCAATTGGAAAGGAACCTCCAAGCTCATAAACGTCTGGACTCAACGGAGAACAGAGCACGTGTTGGCTCACGCTTCGGGAACCGAGCCTAAACAGAACACCGGCAATGAGCTTAGGGGTGCAAAATAACAAGTCATGACAGGGTGCACCAACAACCTTAAAAGCCAGAAACTGGGACCTCCACAACCCCAAACATAATGCGGAAACCAGAAATGCAACGCAGCCCCTGACACTACATTAAAAAATCAGAACCTTATAGGGACAATGTCAAGACTGTGAGGGGATACTATTACTATTCATTCCGACCCCTACCCCTAAACCCTAAACCCTAGATTACTCTGCTGTCTTCTGAGTGCCTGGCGTGCTCACTGTAGCACCTCCGGGGACTCTCTGAAGGCTTTCAGAAGGACATTCCTTTTACTACTGTGATGACTATTGCCATAAGTGTTACTACTATGTTATTATGATTGGTACTGCCGCTATGACTCTTAATGATGATCATTACTGGTAGTGTTACTTAA